TCTGTTCTTTCCCCATTTGTTCATTGTCCCTACCCACAGCCCTCCCTGCACTACAACGCAGTGAGAGCAGGGGCTTTGCCCTGTTCAGTGTTACATGCTCAGCACCTGTGTCTCACACACAGTCCTCATTCCAGAAACACGTTACCTGAGTGGACAGATGAACTTCAGCCTGTCTGGAAACCCTCTAAGCAGCTGGTCCTCAGGAAAGTCTGATAACAGGCTGCAATAACAGACAGAAATCAGAGCTCCCTGTAAACTCCCCCCTTTGCCAGAGAGAGGGCTCTTGCTATGGATGCCACAGGCAAACACTACTTAGCCCCAGGGAAGTGCCTAGGTAGACCAAAGCTGGACAAACTGAGATCAGCTCTAACCATTCCAAGCATAGAGCATGGCCAGTTATACAACATGACTGGAGGTTTGCATACAGAAAGATTCCCAAGCTAGAAATCTCTCCCATAAGCCTCTTACAATATCTAAATCGTTTGCCATCACAGCTTGGTAACTTCAGATGTATCCAAACATCCGCCCCATAGCTGGGTGCATCTCAGGAGAGTGGCTGAGTGCAGCTTTGTGTGGTCACTTTAGGTCAGCTCCACAGGGACAGACCGAGTCCTGGAGCCGGGAGTCGAGTCGAGGGGAAACAGACCAGCCAGTCCTGTGTGTATGCCAGCGAGGGCAGCCAGGGAGCACAGGGCACAGGGTCCATGGGGAGGATCAGCCTTGGCTCAGGCAAGGTTGCAGCAAGCAGCAGCCTTGGGACAGCCATTGAGGCAGTTTCCAGAGTGGAGGCACCAGATACTAATGCAGGAAGCACTGAGTGGGCTTCCCAGAGACCTGCCCGTCACTCTCACCGGCACTAAGGAATACCTGAAGCAGGAATCTAGTCAAAACGGGAGAGAAAAAAACCAAAACCAGTCTCCCAAGCATCAAGGAAGTTGGGAGTACAATACAGGGCTAGCAGACAGAGTGTTTGCTGAGAACCACAGCAGAGACCCAGTCCTGCAGCCAGGGCCAATGCGGTGAAAACAGGGAGTCCACCCCACCATGACTTTAGCTAAGTCCCACCAGATGGTAAGGCTCGGGCAGCCTCCTTTCCACATCCAGACCAGTCTAGGCACCAGAGGGAGACTGCCCGCCTGTGCCCATAGCCTGTGAGTAGTAGAAAGGGGCAGGCAGGCTCGGGCTGACTTCACCCCACATACGGCGCTGTCCTGGCGTGACCCGATGGGAGCCAGAGAGGATTCCCAGCTGATCCAATGTCCACTCTGTGACCTTGCACAGAAACGGACGCACTGTGAAGCGTTTCCTTCCACAATGCCAAGGTGATTAAGTCATTTATCGTCAGAATTCTTAGCAAAGGCTAGAGTCCTTATAAGGTGTGAACACAAAAACCAACGATTCACTAACAGATTACACATTTTTTTTTCTTTTAAGAGGGATTAGGAGATCAGTAACCTAGGAAGATCCAAAGACAATGCAAAGGTCTAGGGTGGTGTTTTTATTTGTTTCCTTGAATGTTTGGGGATTTCTTGTGACATTTAGAAAAGTAAAAAACAAGGCACAATTTGATTCTTTGCAAAAAAAAAAAAAAATATATATGTATATATATATCCCACACATAATTAAAAAGCAACTAAGATCATCCAAATAAAGCCTCTGAAGCAGCTCAAAATTCACAAGTAGAATACAGTAAACAAACAAAGGAGAGTGGGGAATCAGAAATCTGTGAGAATACTAGAACATGAAAACTTTAAGGAAAACAAACCCATTCATTTCCAGAGAGGACTATACTTCTTGGTTAAAAGAAAGGTTATTCTTTCCACTTGGCTCTCAGATTTCCCAAGAAAAGAGCACCAAATCCACACAATATATGAACAACTCTGGCTGAAACGAACTGGCAGTTAGCGAGGTTCTGTCTACAGATAGATATATAAGCACTACATTTGCCTACACGCCACTTCCTGAAAAAGCTGCTTTGCCAACATTTTAATAAAGTTCACTGAAATTACGACAACATTGGAGAAGCACTGGGATCCCAGGAAGTAAGCCTATGTATTTATTTGTTTCTAGAGACATAACATTGAAAAACACTTTTCAATTTTGATCTGCTTTCAGGATAAAAAAAAAAAGCTGTTTCCAATTCATTACATTTAATTCCTAACTCATTCCTAATTAAAATGCTGCCATAAAATAAACACTTCAATTACATTTTAAGGTCTTAAAAACGATAAGTTTGTTAACTAACAACTCCTTTGAAGTATTCATGTTTCAGGGTGTCAGGATGGTACAGGACAACTGCATCCCATTTAAGTGCCCATTCCAGGCCCAGCTGCTCCATTCCTAATTCAGCTTCTTGCTAATGTGCCTGGGAAAGCAGTCCAAGATGGAGCAGGTACTTGGGCCCCTACCACCTACATGGGAGACCCCATGGAGTTCCACACTTCTGGCATCAGTGTGACTCAGCCCGAATAGGTGCTACCATGTGGGGGAGTGAACCAATGGATAGAGGATCTCCTTCTCTTTCTGCAATTCTGCCTTTTCAAATAAATAAATCCTTTTTAAAAATGCATCTATTATTTCTTCCATTCCTTCTTTCCCATACACACAAATCATGCACAGATAGATAAATCTATAAGCCACTAAACCCCACCATATTCCAGATGTTTCAGTAATGTGAATTTTAAAGTGGCCTTTATGAGAGGAAATGCTGCGCAGTGAAGAAAAAAAGAATGGCAAACCCCAAATTCAGGTCTTACCAGTGAGTGGGGGTTTGGAGTGAGATGGACCAAGGAACTGTTATTTTCCTTAACCTGAGTGATGTGGAAACAGGTGCTCACACAACCATTATCTTGTATACCTTACTTATATGTTGTATTATTTGAGTTAGTCAATATTTAACAAAAATGATACTCATCAAAGAAATGACTATATGTAATTGTCATTGTAAAAAGTACATGTAGATATATGCAAATCAAATCCATGCTTCAGAATATTTTTTTTCAGTAGCAGCATTAAAAACAAGTAAAACAATCTAAATGGTTCCTGATTAACCTATCCTTCTATCTGACAGAATGAAAAACTCTTATGCAAAAACCTTATTTTTTTAAACTTTGACACAGATACACTCCATCTTTTGCTATGTATCCAGCCTCATTCTGTTTCTGTTTTTAAGCTATTTGTCCTTAGCTTCATTGAAAGTTCTGCTGTTTTATTAAGAAAAAAAAAAAAAGATTCTTTTCTTATTCTCTGAATGAATCTGAAGAAATGAAAAAGGCATCACACCTCTACGAATCCTGTACAGCAGTACTGTTGTCAACACTCGCAATGACCATATAATTAAACTGAATTGCTAGTGAAAAGCTTTCAGCTTGCCCTTCTTCTTGTTTCCAGTGAAGTGTTGCCAGTGAACCAATAATTTGGTTTTGTGAAGTTTGAGAGACAGAGAAAGCCTGAGCTCCCATCTGCTGGTTCACAACCCCAGGAGCCCACAAAGGCCAGGGCCAAAGCCAAGTGCTCAATCCAGGTCTCCCAAGTCAATGGCAGGAATCCAACCACGTGAGCCATTACTGCTTCCCCCCAGGGTGGTAATACAAAGAAGCTGGGGTCAGCAGCCAGCGCCAGTCATGGAACCCAGGAATGCTAACATGCAAGCGTCTTACCAGCCAGGCTAAATGCCTGCTGCTTCAACCATTTTTTTTTCTTTTAGCTTCTCCCCAAATCTGTTTATTTCTTCCAATAAAATGCTAAAACATCTTAGATTTGTTAGCTTCACTTTGTTTCAACATGTTGAGTGCTTAATTTTGTCAGCATAATCCAAGTTGGGAATTGCAGTGGTCCTCCAAGACCAGCTATTTTCAATACTTCAAAAAGCCCAAGGATAAATTAACCTGCAATCTAGCCAAACTAAGAACAAAATATTTTTGCTTTTTCCACTGTGATTTCATCAGGTCTTCTTCGGTTAACTGGCTAGCGCATGAAGATCAGACACTCAGACACTCATCATTAATAAAAATAGAACTCAATGTATACTTTATGCATGTGGTCTGAAAAATGACTTAACATATGATATGAGGTCCATGGAGCAAAACTATTTGATTTTTTATATCTGTGGGGTTTTTTTTTAACCAGTTATATGGAAAGTTTAAGAGCAACAACAAAGTCTGCGGACTTAAAGAACATTTTAAGAATTTTGGAGGTTTTTTTGGTGTGGTTTTTTTGTTTGTTTGTTTGTTTTTGGTTTGGTTTTTTGCTGGTTTAGTCCTTTGCCCCACAATCTTGAATAAACCCTGGAAAGCCTTAACAGAGAACGTGTTTTATGTCCCATCTCCTTCCTGCTATAAGGCAGGCTAACAGCACGAGAAAGGTTTCTCCTTTTCTACAGCTTCCAATCTCGCTAAAATCAAAATGAAACCCTGTCCTACAGGATGGCTGTCCCTACAAAGCAAAATATTCCAGGTGTCTCAATGAAGTCTAACATATACGGACCCTTAAAATAAACAGCCTTTACAAACAAGCTGAGTGAATCTTCACAACCCGCCCCCCCCCCTTAGTCCCTTAGAGGAGCTGGGCTGGGCAGGTGCAAGGGCATCCACTCCTGGAGGCTGTCTCCTCCTTCAGGAGTCTGAGCTTGTCCAGCTGGTAGCTCTGACACCCCACAAATCAGCCATCGGGGCGCAGAGCCTGCTTTCCCAGCCACACTTCCCCCAGGGCTGAGATGGTACCCGGCTGGCTGAGGAGAACCTGCTCCCCGTGGCTTGCCAAGGTTCCCTGGAAGTGTTTCTCGGGGTACTCTTGCACGGCCCTCCTCAACCTCCTCATCAGAGTTCATTACCCGGCGCTTCCTGGCACTTCCTGGTGCCACCTCCTCACCCCGTCCCTCCGTTCCTCTTCCTGACCCCTGCCCTGCCGACCTGGGCCCAGCCCAACGTGGCACCTAGAGGGCAGGGTTCCAAACCACACAGGGGCTGGCCTGAAGAGACCTTGGGGGCAGGGCGGCCTACCTGCAGGCACTTCAGCTGGGGCTTCTTCCCTGGCCTTCTGCAGCTTTTCTCTCACCCAGGGAAACTCCTGCAGGGACTCCAGGAATGCATCAAAGGCTCTGGGGCCCCGCGAAGGGAGGATATCCAACAGCAGCAGTGTCTTCCGGAGGCCTGTGGCCTGGGCTTTGATTTCCTGAACGTGGCTTTCAGTCAGGATTCCTTCCTGGTACAGGTACTGAAGAACCAGTCCTTCCACCAAGACCTCGGCACCCAGCTGCAGGCGATGGGAACGCAGCACCTGTTTGTCTCGGGCCTCCATGCCTCCCTGGGAAGACACAAAAATCATAGCTTCAATTCCAAGAGTGCCCGAGTGCCCCCTTAAGACGATGTCAAAGCCCCTGAAGGACACGGACATCCACAGGCCTTCACAGACGGCCAGCCCGGGGTAGTTCCCATGCAAGTGGTCAGCCTAGTGAGCCCAGTTCGTTCCAGTGTTTCCAAAGGCAAGGAACAAGGATGGGGGCGGTGTGGGGGGGAATCATCTTTTTTGACTTTTCACAAGGTGTGGGATCCAAGTTCAATTCCTGGTTCAGTTGAGTGGATCAATTCCTGCTCAGGAGTGGGTCCTACACCTTGCTGCAGGTGATGTTTGGGGAGTAGCCTTCCAGGTTCAAACACACCGGAGTAGACAGACACTGATTTTATTTTAACCCGGCCTTCGGTGGATGCTCCCCGCCCCCACCATCACCAGGGAAAAGCCAAGGGCATTGGTAGAACAACCTCTGCAAAGGCAGTGGGGGGCCAGAAATGCCTTGGAAGATCTTGGGAAAAGTCCCCCACGACATCATTATCCCCTGCAAGAAAAATATTCCTCAACTGTCCGCGCCCCGTCGACGGTGAACCCGGTACACACTTCTAAGAATTCGGGATCTCCATCACCACGCGGCTGTGGGCATGGGACATAATAAGCATGGAGCACTTAATGTGCTTCCTCCCCCGACCCACCACTTAAAACGGAAAAAAGCCTACACCGCGCGGCCAGCAGCCAGGCACGACGTGAGGGTGTAGCCGGCGCCCCAGGGCGCTGTGCGGGCTGTGGCGTGCCGCCCCACAGGGTGAAGAGGCGGGGCAGCACAGCCCGGGCCGCCCCGCAGCCAGGCTCCCCTCGCCGCCCTCGGGGAAGGCGGGCAGCTGGCAGGGGGCACGGGGTGGGCCGTCTGGCAGACAGCGCCCCTTCGGAAGTCGGCTCTCATTCCCTGCCTTGCCGGCTGAACCCCTGGTCGGTCACAAACAGGAAGAAGAGCCAGGCATTTTCAGAGCCAAAGAGGGAGTGCTGGGAAGGTTCTCGTGAGCGGCCGGAGGGCGCGGCGGGTCCCCAGCGCCGCCGCCGCCCGACCCTGGCCCAGCTCGGAAGCCCCGAAACCAAGCGAGGAGTCGGGAGAGCCACACAAGGTTTAGGTCGCAACGCCACAGCGCCAGGTTTTCGAGAAATGATGGATTCCTCTTACTTACGTCTGCAACCACGTTTCTAAGAAAAAAAAAAAAAAACTACAACCGGAATCCAGACTGTCTGGGAAACTGTACCATAAGCACCATCTTTGTTAAAGGCGACAGCCCTAAACAGGAAGTACCGTCGCCATCTTTGTTGAGGGCAGGTACAGGAAGTGCTGTCGCCTGTGTTACTGGAGAAGGCAGAGGTCACATTGAAGCTTTTTTCGCCATGTTTGCTGTGGGTAAACAATACAACTGACTGAAGATGTGTAATTGTAGCGTTACTTAAAACAATTATCTAAGGAGTAATTGTACTGCTGCATTTTGAGACAGGCTCTTGCATACAACTGACAGACTAGACAGGCAAGTGAAAAGTCACTCCAGAGCAAACCCTGCCCTGACCACTTTATTTAAAATGGGAATGCGCTTTGTTCATCTGTCATCCTTCTCCCTTGACCATTTCTTTTTTTTTTTTTTAATTTAGAGCACTTTTCATCCTCTTACCAAAACCTATGCTTATTCATAAATATCTGCTGTTCCCCTCCGCTGAAGTGCAAGGTCGCTTCTTTCTGTCCGCAGGTTTTCCTATTTGCAGAGCTCACAAATCACTCCGTTGGGATTCCCGGCTACTCCACGCCATAAAGGGTGTGTGTCATGGGGAGTTGGAGACGTTGAAACCACTGGACAGGCTGTTAAAGGGGCTGAGTACCAAGGAGTGAAACCCTAGACAACAATGCCAATCTGGCTCTGGCCACCCAAGTGGTTGTTCTACCAATGCGGAGATGGAGTCTGGAATCATCACCTGGGGGGTGGGTGGGGCTGATGCCAAGTCCATTCTATTGTGCCCACCACTTCTTGAATTCAGAAAGCAAAACCAATTGTGTGACCCACGTATACACAGATGCAAGAATAGCAAATTGAGTGTCCCTCCTCTAATTCCTTTATGAAATAAGGCATTTGATCAATATACATTGATTCATTTTTACACCAACTGCATGATAAAGGTATATGCACAAAGTCCTGTGTCTGCTAAGAATGGATTGACAGGAACAGAAGAAAACAAAATCCTCAGATATTTCTCCAAAGGATTTCACACCAAGTGCCTCTAATGGAAGATGAAAGTCTCTTTATAAGAAAATCAATGGATGGCAATTATAAACCTTCTTCCTGAAAACCTCCTAATAATTATATAAAGCATACAGTGTTACTATATGATTCTTCTGTATCAATAGTAACAGTATTTTTATTATGTGATAAATACTATTATTTTAAATCTGTAGCAACTGTGAAATCAAAGTGACTAATTGTCTTTTTTAAAATATTCATTTATTTTAAAGAGTTACAGACAGAGAAAGACCTTTTATTGGCAGGCTCATTCCCCAGATGGTCACAATGGGCCAGGTCAAAACTAGGAGCCAAGAGTTTCTTCATAGTCTACCTCATGGGTACGAGGGGACCAAGTCCTTGAGCCATATTCTGCTGCTTTCCCAGCAGGAAGCTGGATAGGAAGTAGAGCAGCCAGAACTCAAACTGGTGCCCATATAGGATGCTGGCATTGCAGCCAGCAACTTTATCCACTATGCCACAATACAGGCCCCTGGTCAATTGCCTTAACCAAAGCCTCAGAGTTCATAGAAAACAAATTCTGAATTCTACTCAAGACTCTTGATTCCAGGCTCTTCCCAGCATGCAATATAGCTCCAGATGGTTAAGAGTCTGTCCTTCCACCTGGTACCATGACAGAGGACAGAAGACAAAACAAATTAATCAACTACCTCAGCCAATCGGTGGCAGTGAAGATCTGGGCAGACGGAGACACTAAGGTGGACTATAGCAAGCCAGTGAATTCAGAAGAGATTTCATTGTGATTGGAGTGATGGGATCACCAGAAATTCAGGACTGTTGATCAAAACCTCTTAAGAAATTCATGGTGTTATAAATTTAAATTTTCTTCCTGTTGTTGATTTTGTATTATGGCCTTTCACTTAAGAGGGATATGTGATGACTGTGTAATGGAGACTGTCATGTCCATATGTGAGGATGCAGTGCAGTGTGCATCTCTACTTCCAGATCAAAGGTGGACTACTTATGAAACTATTAGCTGTATCTTGACAATGGGAGGCTGGACTCTGCCATTGTCCATGCTCACAGTGATGAACATGTGACTGTTTATGAAGAGCTATGCTATAGTAATAATACAGGGGAATTCGGTGAGGGAGCGGAGGAGGCACGGGAAATCCCAGAGCCTATGGAAATGTATCATAGAATGATGACAATAATTTTAAAAGAAGTTTAAATAATAAAAATAATAAAATATAAATAATAAGTATATATGTCTATATCTATATAAATATAGATAGATATAAAATGATATAAAATGTCACCTTCAGGTGACTGCCAAAAATATGATCACAGAGAATCCTGCTGCCACCTCCCACTCTTGAGATTTGAGTTCCAGGGACTCCCCAGTCTTGCCCTCTTCCTCTTCTGCTCCATGCTTTGGTTTGGATAGGACTGGTTCCCCAGGGTTTCCCATGTAGAAACTTGGATGGAGCCTGCAGGTTGCTGTGGGCTGTCGGGACCTTGAAGATGAAGTTAGTGGGAGGTCTTGGGGCCTTAGTGTCTACAAAGGATAATGATACTTGGAGGGTCCCAAGTTTGTTCTTCACAGAAAGGCTTCTTACAAAATCACCTAACTCTCCGACTTCCTGTTTTTGAAATTGTGACCTGTCTCCCACACACCTCCTGCCCCTTTGAGGTCATCTGCCATAAGGTCATCATTAGGCCTGAGCTGGTGCTGATATCATGCCTTTGAACATCCAGAAATGTGAACGAAATAAACTTCTTTTCTTCAGATATTTTGTTACATCCTAAAATTATTCTTCTTTCATTTTCCCAGGTTAGAAACGTATTAACAGCATTGTCTATCTTCATCCAGGTGAACTGTAACCCTTGGGCAACATGGCCAATAGCTGAGGGTTACTGACTTGTTGACGAGGAAAACTAAATATTTTTTTTCTTCTTTGAAACTCTGAAAATGCTTACATAAATTTAAAAAAAGAAAAGTTGAAACAAATAGCACAATTGGCAGCTACATAAAGTTGAACACACATCTCGAGGAATTAGCCTTTCTAAAAAGGCTTCAGATCTCCTGGAAACTTGAAGGTGAGCCTAAACTTCTCTTCCCCCAGTACGCTGAGTTGTGTCCTTGCTGCCTTCTCAGTGGCCAGGCTGACTCTGATTGACTAGCCAACTGTCCTCAACTGTTAGAGGAAGTGGCCACCACCCCGCATTAGCCGACCATGACCCTTCTGAGCATCAACAGTCCAGCTTGACTTATGTAGTTATCTAGGACCACATGGGCCTTGAAAGAACCGCAGCTCAGATGAAAACCACCACCACAGGTGGTCCCTCCTCCACTCTGCCCAGTCCCTGTGGGTAGGCTGGAATTGTGCCCCTAAGAGGATTAAGCACCTGTTCCCCAGTGGTATCAAATCCATTTCAGGAAGTACAGATATTTTCCTTTTTCACTCTCCCTTGCTATGTTTACTTGTATCAAGATACACCCATTGTGAGTTTGTGAAAGAAAGAGCCAAAAAGAACAAAGGTAGTATTTTCTCTTTCAATTTAGTCTTTCATTTCACGACCCTCAAAAAAAAAATAATAAAGCAGTTGGATATTTTTGGTTCTTTCTTCCTGTTTCATAGATGTGGAAATTAAGCCATGGAGAAAAACAGGTTCTTTTCAAGGACACTTAAGGCATTGACAAAAATAGATCGTGAATGAGGTCACAAAGAAACTTCAATAAATCCACCAAACATCAGGACACAAAACAATGTGTTTTACCATTACACAATGAAATTCAAAACTTTAACAAAGGGCTAACTTCCATAAATCCTGTAAGTTTGGAAACTAAGTAAAAGAATCCAAACTCTTTAATCAAAAAGAAAGCCCCATATATCTAACAGAGCGTGGAAAGAAAACTTCTTGGTCAAGAAACCTTACACACACCACCTTCACCCAGGACATCATGAGCTCCAACATGGCAAGAGAGCCATTTCAGATGTGATAGTCTTCTCTAGAAATTAGTATTTTTTTTATTTTAATGAATCAAATATTCTTTAAATAATGAAAAAAAATAAGAGGTAGACAGACACACAGAGAGACATGGACTTGCCATCCACTGCTTCACTCCCCAAATGCCCTAGAATTGGGAACCCAGTCTGGGTCTTGGCAGGTTCCCACTACAGGTCTCCCACAGAGGTGACAGGAACACAACCCAAGGATGGGAAACAGGGACTCAAGTACATGAGCCATCACCACTGCTGGCTAGGGCACACTTAAAAAAAAAAAAAAAGGAATCAGGATGGGAGCCAGTTCCAGAAGTGAGGCACTCGATGACTTGCATGGAGATGCAAGCATCTCACAGGATGTCTGAATGTCCGCAATGCCAGCGTCCACCCCTTTCCCTGAAATGTAGCACCTCAATCTTTTCATCAGAAAACATCAGCCCAACCCAAATCGAAAGAAAGAGATACAGCAAAGAATGAGAGAGAAAGCAGCCCAGGGTCCAAGAGATCATGGAGGTGCAATCACTTCATGAAGGAAGGGAGCAGGACGGAGAAGATAAAGATTGCCAAAGAAAACATGGACATGATCTCTTGCAACTGTAAATCCTCAAACCAGACTTGAAGTGTGCAGCCATGTTTGGCAGCTTTCTGCACAGTTTTGATCAAGATTATGCCATAGGTAATACTATGTGCAGTGTTTAATTTTACTAAGTTAAAGTAAAATCCTAATGATATCTTCAATCTCATTATCTTTTGTTCATCTTTTTTATTATTTGAAAGGTAGAGTTAAAGCGACAAGGAGAGATACAGAGAGCATCCACCTGCTGGTTCACTCTCTTAATGGCCACAACAGCTGGAGCTGAGCTGATGCAAAGCCAGGAGCCAGGAGCCTCCTCTAGGTCCCCAATGTGCGTGTAGAGGCCCAAGAACTTGAGCCATTCTCCTCTTCTTTCTGAGGCCATAAGCAGGGAGCTGGATTGGAAGTGGAACATCTGGGATTTCAACCAGCGCCCATACAAGATGCTGCTACCGAAGGCAGAGGCTAAGCACTCTACACCATG